TTTTATAGAATTTACAGCATAATTAACACTGGCAAATATTCAATGATTCATCATTATTTGATGAAGATACACTACGGTTCAAAAGTTTAGGATAAGTGGTATTGTTATTAGTAGTAAAGAAATTCATATTTTTTTTATTTAGCAAGGTTGCTTTAAATTGATCAGTTGGACAGTAAAGACATTAACAATGCTACAAAAGATTTCTTTCAGATAAATGGTATTCTTTTAATTTATTGAAGAATTCTGAAATATATTTTTTTATAGGTTGATAATAATTATAAGTGTTTATTGAGCTCCAAATCAGCACATTAAAATGTTTTCTGAATGATCATTTGACACTGAAGACATACCTGTAATGACTGATGAAAATTCTGCCTTAATATCACAGTAATAAATTACATTTATCAATATATTAAAGTGCAAACAGTTATTTTAAATATATATTTTTTAAAATAAAATAAATGCAGCCTTGTATCCTGTATCATGGCCCTAGTAATATTAAAGTTTATTTTGTCAGTACTGACACCTCGTGGTCATTTTATACCAGTCACTTTGAGTAAATCATCAACCATTTGAATTTTAGAGCTCATTGTGCAGATGTGCATCTACTCCATTCCAAAAGCCCAGTCTGTCAGTTGAAAAGGTTGATTTATGCAGTAATAAAGCTTTTCAAGGTTTAAAACGTGGACGTTTTTCCACTAAGAAAAGAACATTGTTATTATGTTTTGATTGATACTGTGAAGCTGCTTTGATGCAATCTATATTGTGAAAAGTGCTATATAAATATACTTGACTTAATACAAATATGATTATGCAAATTTTTATGTTTAAGAACGTCTCGTATAGTTACGTATAGTTCCCTGAAGAGGGAATGAGACGCTGTGTCAATGCTGTGGGAATGCTCTGTGTGTGTGCGTCCTGAAGCACGTATGGAATCAGTCCAATGGAGAGACGGAATGTCATAGACGGGTGACGTCAGAGACCAGCAAACTATAAAGCACCCCAAAAACACAAGCGCGATAGCTTCTGACAGGCCAAAGCAAGAGCTAGTTGGCATGCCGGGAGTATGGCAGGATGACAGAGTGTCTCGTGGGATTTTAGGGAACTAGGGTTAAATACAGTACGTAACTGAGACGTTTCCATTCAAGGGAACTCGGGCTGCGTCAACACAGTTGGAATGCTAATACCTACATCGCCATAAGAACAAGTGCCCGTCATTTAAAATCAGAGCACACAGAGAACGAGAGCACCTGCACCCCAGGAGTGGAGCTGAGGTCCAAGTCATAGAACCTAACAAACGTTTGGGTTTGGACGAACACACACAGAGGTGTTCCCACAAAAGGGAACTATCTAAATGTAACTCGAGGCATATAATTGTGATGCTAGACTGTTTATTCATCTCATACATCGCTATGTTGTGTAAAGGTGGTTTTTACGCATCTTATATTTGACTGCATATTACTGTTTTGTGAAGTGAATAACTTTGTAAAGGGATAGTATTTTCTCAATTTCTTTGTTTATTTGGTGTTGCAGTTTCACAAATTGGTCTCTAGTAAAGAGAGTTTGACCCTGACTTCTGTCTACGACCTTTTCTGAGGCTGCCAAAGCAAAATAAGAAAAGAGAACAGACAAGTGACTTCTTATATGAACAATAAAAACATTTGAACGGTAGTGTAAATATAAACTCAAGAAATGTGGCTGGTAACCATTCTAGCGATGTTATGTCTGAGGTCAGCTGAATAATTGGAAAAATACAATAAAAAAAGTTTATCTCTGTCTACAGTGAAGAGACATTAAACAAAAATATGATTATTAATCTTAGCACATTAACCATATCTGCAGTATACGAGAAGAACTCAAACATAAGTAGTACAGCATCGTTAGTTAAAGACTGGTAGTGTGCTATCAAGTTCTAATAATCAGTCCACATAAGAATAAATCATGAATCAACCATATGAAGAGTGATTTATGAGATATTAAATGGGTAGGTCTCTCAACACCAAACAGAACATTAGGATTAATTAACATTCTATACCAATAATATCTGCAACTGTTAATGATTACAGACTTTACTGAAAGCCACGGCACGGCAGGAGACAGCCACAATAATGCTGACGGTCTTTCATTTCCTCCCTGGAGAATGGCTGTTACACTCAGGAAAAAAAAAATTGGCTGGCACTGAAAGCATCCTCATATACATATCTGCTCTGCTTCTTGGCATTGCAACGTCTGTGAGTGTGTGAGCCAGTGTGAAATAATGTGGGAGACAGTAAAGAAGGAGCAAGCGAGGACTCCCTCAGAAGCAGAATACTGGGCATCCCCCTGTTGTCCCCCTCCGCCCTTCTCACATCCTCTCTGATTCTTCCTCTTTTCATCTTCAGTCGCTCCGCTTCCCTACTGCGGCAAACACTCGTCCCATTTCCATTCATCACGCATTCATTCATTTCCTTTGCTCTCATTCGTCTGTACTCCAAAGCTTAAAAACAAGGCAGCTTCACGGTCCTCTGGGAATCGCGTGGAGAGATGAAGAAAAGCAAAACGCAACTCGGTTGATCAACATCTCAGGTAGACGTCTGCGTAATAATTGTGTGAAAACCAGAGCCGACAGCTCTTCATTTTTTTTTTTTTTTTTTGCTCTAACATGCCATAGGGTTCTTTTAATGAAGGCAGCTCGCGCTTGTCTACAGTCTCTCTAGGGTAGGAAGCTCATTATGGAGCACTAAAATCTCAGTCTTCCTCCTTTAGCAGGGTGAATTGATTAACAGAAACAGCATAGCAAACATCAAGGTTACACGCTTAATGTAAACTGTTATCTGACACACGAAGAACTCCCACAAACAACTGACAACGTATATGATATTCTCTGAGCAAGCACCATCTTCAAAATATTCGGATGAGAATATAATTGGACAAGGATTATGATGGCTGGTCTCATAGGAATTGGTAGATACAAAGACAAACGTGTTCCCTCCAGTCCAATTTTATCAGAGTCTGCTCAGAGTAAAGATATTTTCATAATTGGCCCTTAAAAGTTGGAAAAAAGTTAAACATTTCTAGATGTAGGTGCAGTGATTAATTTGTAAATGAATAATTGTCGAAACCAAAACAATAACTAGAGTGCTGTGACCAAACTGACCATAAAACTTTAGTTTTCCTGGAACATGATAACTATAAAAGCATCTATAAAAGTATCATGGCATTCACAAGTTTCACCTTATTCCGCCATGTATTCTGTCTACCTTGAGACCAACTTTCATTCAGCTGATCAGTGATATTCTCTCACCGACTACGTTGTTGTAACTCCAGTTGCTTGTGTCTCCCGCTGTCCTGATTAGTATTAGAGTTGTCCAAGGGTGCATCTCTTTTGACCATAAACTCCACCAGCTTTAATCACGGATATGAAAATTTAAAATATGGTTGACTTATCTTTTTGACATTTTAAAGAAATTAACTGATTTTCATTAAAATAATTAGTCAGGTATATACACTCTTTCCAAACTTTCCACTGCAAAACAATAAGCAGTAAGCACCAAACAATGAGAATGATTTTGAACTTAAGAAAGTTGATTGGTCAAAAATATATATGTTGAGGACCAATGGCAAAACATAACCTCCAAATACATCTGCATAAACTCACGCTTGCTCTGTTTCACACGTGTGCACGCACTGTCACCATGTAATGCACTTATTAATGTCGGATTGTTTAAAAACAAATACTGGAACACAAAAACCGTAAAAGGAACAAGATCCCGCTCAAAATAAGTACTGCATGGGTGGTTTTGTGGCATTAATTACATTCATAAAAAGACCAAGGATACTAATTCAATGTATTTTGATATGAAAACACAAGCCTTGATTTGGCTATCTGTCAATTTTAGTCCCTGTCATGATCAAAACGTGAGATTTTAACATATTTTGTTGGGTATGGTCTAACATTGTGCTCATATACATATATATATATATATATATATATATATAAGGGTACAAAAATATTTAAAAGCAGGGAGCAAGAAAACTTGAATAAATTTGAGATTTAGGTCACAAAAAATAGCCTTAACTAATTCGACACGGTCAAGGATCAGATGGATTAATTGGATGGCAACCCCCCCCACCAAACACTTTAAAAAAAACTGCTATCTTGGGCTGAAAATTTAACATGTCAATTTACTGCAATCAGTTAAAGTAAAAAGTTATGGGTCAGTAAGGTTTTGTAATGTTTTTGGAAGAAATCACCAAGGCTGCCTTTATTTGATCAGTAATATTGTGAAATATCATTAAAACATTTTATATATATATATATTTGAATTTATTTTAAAATGTATTTTATTCCTGTGATGGCAAAGCTGAATTTTCAGCATCATTACTCCAGTCTGCAGTGTCACATGATCCTTCAGAAATCATTCTAATATGCTGACTTGGTGTATAAGAAACATGTCTTATTATTATCAATGTTAATCTTTTTGTGAAAACCGTGAGACCGTTTGGAACAGAAATCTTTTGTAACATTATAAATGTATTACAGTTAGTTTTGATCTATTTAGTGCATCCTTGCTGAAAAAAAGTATCCATTTCTTAATAAAATAATAATTAACATTTATCAATTATTTATTATTTTTATATCAATATTATAGACCATTTTACAAGATGTAAACAACACTGGTCCAGAAGCACTTCCTGTTTCAGTTTAACAACACTACATAAAAGTTGGGATAAAATACAACCAACAGAACATTTAAAACTGAATCAAAAAGTTAAACAAACATCTTTAAGATGTTTTATTTACATGTGAAATAAAGAAAACAGTTAAAAAACTGAAACAGGAAGTGCTTCTGGACCAGTGTTGTTTACATCTTGTGAAATGGTCTATATAATACATAATTGTATTATCTTATTTCATATTAGAATTATATAATGTCGATATATTTAATAGAAACAACAACAATGCAATTAATCATGACCCCTTACTTGTATGTGAGTTCTGGAATAAGAAATGTTCCTACCATTGAAGCAATTCAATCTTGAAGTATCAACTTCACGTTTTTGCAAGAACGCATGGCGATCTGCGACGCAACGAAATATTATGCAATTAATCTGATTGAATGTTTAAATAGATTAACAGCGCTAGTAATAAGATGTAAAATCACTTAGCAATAAGAAATGATCATGCAGAGAGTGCACTCAGAGTTAGCTGACTCACCGGCCGGCTGTGTGCAGAACTCCACCGAGACCTCCTTCTTCTCCCTCTGCTCAAGGGGAAGCTGCCAGGGCATCTGATGGGGTCGGGCCACTACCCGTATCTTATACACAGTCATGGGCTTCAGGTTGTAGAAATGGTATTTGTACCCTCCAGGCTTCACGACATCATACTCCGCATCATTCAGGAAGATCATGTGGCTGTAGTTACTGTTGCTCGGCATCCAGGTGAGTTCAGCCGAAACTTGAGTGATGTTCTCCACACGAAGGTAATAGGGTGCCACCACCACATCTTTCCCCACCAGCAGTGTGCAGCGCAGCGGATCAGAGAGCCCCCGCTCTGTCATGCTCTGGATAGAGATGCGGTGAGTACAGGAGGCCAGGTTCAGCTTCTCGATCAAAGACTTGGTGCGGCCGCCGAAGGGCACGCTCATGCGCACCTCCTGATCCACCAGCACGTTGTAGCCACTGATGGGCGTCCACCCAGGCAAAACCACTGGAGGCTCCCAGCTTATAATGACACTCTTGGCCAGCTGTTTGATCAAGGTAATTCGGCGGGGGTAAGGCACGATGTCTTCTCCGATCTCATCAATGTTCACGTCCAGCGTGCCTGTGCCGTTGCTGCAGGGTCCCAGAAAGTCCATGCCCAGCCCAATGCTCATGCCCAAGCTGCTCACCCCACTGCTGCTGCTGGTGCCCGTCCCGGTACCTGAGCCCAGGGCATCCAGCCTGTCTGAGAGCAGCGTGCTGAGCGTGCTCACGGCGCTGCTCGGCATGGAGGGGGGGCTGTGGTTGAGGTAGGACGGTTCCTTGATGCGGTCCAAGAGAGGAATCGAGGGAAGCTCCTCATCCTGGACAAAGTCCACAAAGTTGGAGGGAACGAGACCCTGCTGTCCATCCAACAACTCCCCTGAAGTGCAGAAAAGTGCATCGAGTGGTGAAAAAGAGCACGAGGGAGAAAATACTATTCATGCAACAAAAACATATTGTTATAAGGAAATATGTCTACATGGGAAAGAAAACTGCACTTGTCAATGTCTTCATAGGATCTTTAAAGGGATACTCCACTTTTTGTGGAAATAGGCATTTTACCCACTCGCCCAGAGTTAAAAAGATGGGTTTTACCGTTTTCAAATCCATTCAGCCTATTTCTAATATTTAGAAGAATATCAGAAACCAGACAGTTTCTGGTCTCATTGATCTGGTCTGGTTACCGATATTCTTCTAAATATCAAAAAATCTGCTGAATACATTGCGAAAACGGTAAAACCCAACTGTTTAACTCTGGGGGAGTGGTAAAATTAGCCTATTTCCAAAAAAAAGTGGAGTATCCCTTTAACCATTTTGACAACTTACTCTACAGTATATTATTCACACTCAGGTAACAGCAGCAGTCGAACACTACTATTCAAAAGTTTCGGGTAAGTAAGATTTCTTTTCAAATTTGTTTTTCAAAAATTGATACTTTTATTCAGCAAGGATGCATTAAATCGATGACTGTAAAGGTGACAGTAAAGCAATTTAAAATGTTACAAAAGTTTTCTATTTTTATCAACTTTTATCATGTGAAAATATACGCGCGTGACGCGCGTCAGAATCGAAATCCGTTGGCGGCCATTGTTTTTATGTCGACCGAGCATTCATCGAGAGAGTCACCGCTCTGTATTTGCTCTGGAGAGCAGAACCGTGGCATGGGGATCATCGTCGCCGTACAAAATGAACATGTCTCGTATATATAAATAAAGTTTTAAGTGATAAAATATTTGCTTTGTTGTGCATAATCCCATCATGCATTTAGTCATATTACAAAATAATTTATTGATACTTCACCAGATACTTCACCACGTGAGCAAGCAGCTAGGCTCCTGATTGGTTAACGCGGCGCGAATTGACGCCCAAAGTTCAGATTTTTTAACTCGGGCGGCTAACGCAAATTCGCGTTAAACGCGTGAATGCACAAATAGCACTAACTAAATCATTCGCGTGTAATGCGCTTAACGCGCCAGACACTCAATTCGCGCCATTCGCGTGAACTTGACGCGCGAATGAGGCGTATTCGTGTGTTCCGCGCCGCGCTCTACGCCTCATTCGCGCCGCAGGAATTTTTTACGCCCGTAACAAGTTTTTGCATTGACTTAACATTGAAATCATTCGCGCCTGACGCGCTATTCGCGTCCGGTGTGAACGCACCATAAGACTGAAGAAATGACAGTGAAAATTGAGATTTGCCTTCACAGGAGTAAATTACATTTTATTCAAATGGAAAACAGTTATTTTAAATTGTAATTATATTTCATTTATTTGATCAAATAAATGCAACCTTGTTAAGCAGAATACCTTGAAGAGGCTCCGTTCAGAAACATTCTTTCTTAAAAAATCTTATTGACCTCAAACATTTGAAGCATAGACAGTAAAAGAAATGGACACAGGACCCCATAGATTTCAACGAAGAAAGTTGAAGCACATTAGAAGCACTCACTTCCTGATAGCCAAGCGTACTGCGCAGGCTCAAACTGAGCTTGACGACGTAGATGTGACGTGATCAACCGTTCTGACCTTCTAGTAGCTGTGCCGAGACAAATCTGAATTGAAATCTGAAACAAATCTGTTGTTGAAATATTTTGTCCAATTGATTTTATGAACTCTCTATCTAGGTGCTTCTCCCTTGACTTTATGCCTTCACGTCCACCCGATTGCCTCATAGACAGTAAAAGATTGCCTACGAGCTCCTCCTTCTGTCTATGCGGTAATTTCTCAACTGTGCGACAGAGAGTCCCGTGGTTATGACGCAATCGTTAGTAGGGCTGGGCAAAAAAATCGATTTTACGATTAATCGTTTTTAAAATGTGGTCGATTCAAAATCGATTCTCAACGGCCATGAATCGATTTTTTTTCCATATTCAGGGCTCGTGGAGCTGCGTCTTCTCTCTCTGCACAGGGCAAGCATCAAGCGCTGCAGGCGATACACACTCGTGTTTAAGAGTCGGGACATGAACGAATATTTACTTGCACAATCAGGCCAGCATTGCAACGTAACCAACGTTTATCATTTTCACAACTTTTTAAATTTTACCAGTTTAAACATTCAATAAATTTTAAACTATCCCGTGCTCGCACACTCTCAGAGATGTTTTTCACTGCGTGCACAAGCCTAAATCCAACTCACAAACAGTTTGCCAGTAACACAAGTTTTTTTTTTCCTGGATTATATCGCTTTTACAGTTAAAAACACGTGAAATTATGTCAAAACTCTGGTCTTGGTGAGTAACCTCGTAAAGACAATGTCTTAAATAAGCATTAAACACGTGTGACAGACAGTATACGAGCAAGTAATGGATCCGTGCACTAGTTCTTAAAGTGAACGCAGCAATATGTGTCTGTCATTAATTCTCCTGTAATAAAAATATAATATAGCATTAATTGTAAGCAATCAGAATTAATACCCTATGTATTTAATTCAGTCTGTACTAAAAGACTGTCCAGTGTTATTAATATTTTACATTGGATTACTTTATTCCGTTTCTGTAGTATTTCTGACCTATACCAAAAAACGTTTTTATTTTTGTCTCTTTATTTGTGTCTTTAATCTATTGTATTTTTTTGTGCTACTGTTTTCCATTTAATTCAAAGATTGAAATCACGCTTCCATGTGTTGCATAACCTCTTAACAAAAAAATTACCCCATTGTAAAAACAAACATTTAGGTAAGATCAATGTAATAAAAAATGTTGAAATATTTATTTATTCATCTATCTATATCTATCTTAAACGTAAAATAACCTGATCCTGTTTGATCACGGTGTGTGTCTGTTCTGACTTGTCCAATTTTCAGCATCAATTTTGCATCTTGCATCAAAATCCTGTCTATTCATTCTATGCATTTAGTGTATAGTGTACCTAAAATAAAAATAGTTTTATATACAGGTTTGTGGCTCTTAATTTCTTTATAATAATTAACCACTAGTAAACTTACTAGTCCACTAGTAAACCACTAGTCCACTGTTCTTTTTTATAAACATATGATTTGTATTACATCTATATTCATTATAGTCGAATCAAGAATCAAATCAGAAATCGAAAATCGAATCGAGAATCGAAATCGAATTGAGAGCTTGAGAATCGAAATCGAATCGAATCGAAATTGAACATCTGAAACGATACCCAGCCATAATCGTTAGCCTATTTTTAAAAAAACAACTTCTACAGGGCCATAACGTAAGATACAAAGTTAATAAAAAAAGTTTCTTAAGAAATAAATAATGGACAAATAAAGTCTTTGGACGCCTCAGATGTAAAGTTATTCGCTGTCAAAGTGATGGGAGTCAATGGAATGCTAACAGCAGGTGATAGTCTGCTACAATGGCGGCTTCCAAACAAAGCTTCAGTTCCCGACTGATGGATTACCCCCTTGGTCTGAAGTAGTCCTGTATTATGACATACCTTCATAGAAGCCGTCCTCATCCATGGTCCCATAAACATACAGGTACTTCCCAGCCACCAGGGGGAGCTCTGCTTCAGGATGCTCATTGGGGCCATCATAAGGGTTATAACTGCAGAGGACACTCTGTATCAATTCATGTTTTTTTATATACATTTTTTATTAAACCCTATTTTTTAAGATATATTCTTGATTAATTCAAACCTACAAGAGAAATGTATATGTTTTGATGGTAAACTATTAGTGGAAAATGCTGATATAACTAAGCAACTGGTAGGTTAATTTCCAGCTCTGTGGCAGCTACAGTACAAAACATTGCTTGGTTTGTTTGGGCATCTTGGCCAGCTTGATATAGTGGAGTGCAAGTGGAGTTTGAAACATTATTTTTTATTATTTTTGTAAAAAAAAAAAAAAAAACATCTGGTGAGCTAGTGGGGCCAATGGGCAAGCTGGCTGAAAGGTTTAGAGCAAAAATGTGAAGCTTGTATTTTTGGTAAATCTTTTCTATGATTGTATGACAGCGCACTTTAAATGTTAATCTGCTGGTCTTTGGTAGATGAGTCAAATTTCTTGTATGTGGTAATTGGTTGAGTGCACAGATGTTGTTGATACACTTAACTTGTACTTAACACAGACTTGATGCAGTCATTAATGCTATTCTACACCTAATCATTACAGCTAATGGCATGATATAACAAATCATTACAGCTAATGACACACCATAACCTATCATTACAGCAAACGTCCAATTGTAACGACTGGTAACATGTAACAACAGCTGTAGTGGATCCACTTACTTGTAACGGGCAACACACAGTCTCACTTTGCCTGTGTATCTGGACTTCGACCTGGGGGACGAACCGGGCTCTTTATCCATCTAAAAGAGAAAGGGGGCATTCAAAATTTCTTGCATATGGGCCCAGGGCATGACTTGCTACACCACTGAAACTCTTAGACCTCAAGATTGGATTTGAAAACCAAATCTAATTGTGTGCAGTGTGAACAAAGCCTAAGAATGTCAATGACAAATCAATGGGTTGTAAAGAGAATACATGGTTTTCACATTTTGATTTTTGATAATGTTTCAGGCAAAAACTGAAATCTGAATTAATTGAGAAGAAATTATCGTGTTCAATCTGATAATGTGGGCGATTAAGCCAATATCACCAGCGGAGCACAGTCTGAGCAGACAGATTGGACTATTCACACCCACACACAATTTCTCTCTCACACACAGTCTGTCAGTGTACTGTAATTATTCTCATAATGGCCAAATCACTGTGGTACGACACACTACTAGAATCTACTTTTCTCTGTTGGGTTTTTATATGTTAGAATAGCATATATGTTAGAATTCTATTCTATTCTATTCTATTCTATTATTTGACTCTATACAAATGTTTTTTGTAGACAATTTCAGTGTTTTATACATATTAACTTCATAATACATTTAAACCAAATATTACATTATTTAAAAAAAAAATTATGAAAATTCTCCATTGATTTGCATTGTTGCCTTTCAAAAGGAAGAGGTTCAATCATTGTAATATTTGCATACTGAATTGCTATTAGACTTCTTCTTTCATTTTTTTGGATTTTTTCCCATCTACTGTATAACTGCCTTTATCGGGTTCTAATTCTTGCATTTACTTTACACACAGAACAGAAGTCTAAAACCTATTAAGGGGTCATGAACTGAGAATCCAAATTATCCATGATCTTTTGACAGTTAAGAGTTTGTTATAATGTAAAAAAAAAAAAACCCTGTAAGTTTCAAAACTTCCTTGTTATTCCAAAAACTGCTTTTATTGAAACTAAGGCCAGAAAACGACAGAATCTAAAAAGTGGTGACTTATGACATCACAGAACAGCGAAAGACCAATGTGAATTAATCTGTAAATTCTGGCGCACTTTTACGATATGGATCTGCCAGCAACGCCTAAACATGTAAGTAATCATGTTTATTCTAATGTCTGATCTGTGACCAGTGATTTCTGATGTATAATTATTCAAGTTCAGACAGATTATCTCTCAAAATCGTTCAATACTGTTTATGCATCAGTAAATAAAGCCAGTCACTAAATGATCAACTTCACGAATAATCTCATTTGAACTGTGAATAAATTACATACAGAAAGCGATCAAAGAATGCTCTTTCCAATCGCCCAAGCTGTCAATTACACAGCACAAGATTATCTGGACACTTGCCAAAATGTTATGTAATCAATGATGCTGTTACAATGTACAACAAAGCTCATTCAACATTTCCATTGTTATTTGGTGAAAGCATTCGTGAAAGTGCAGAAATTGAGTTGTAATAATGAGATCTCTTCATTCACAGACTGCTCAGTGCTCATCACTGCAACCTTTCATGTGATGGGAATACATCTAACTTTTCACGATTCATTAATATCGATATCTATAATAGTAAAAACATAGTAAAAGATTTTGCGAGAGTTCCACTTGTAATAATAGTTATTTCATATGCATACATGTCAGCCAATCACAGCAGTGGGCATTTACACAGAAGTCTCACAGCAGATACGGCCCCTCAAATCAGACGCTTAAAACAGCCTTTTATTTCTAGATTATCACCATTTTTTATGTAAAGATCATAATAGCATTATAAGGGCACCCTAGGAAACATTATAATCCAGTTCATGAGACTGTTTTGTGCTGGCTTTCGGTTTAAAAGATTAAACTAAAATAAAACTGTGAAGGGTGAACATTAAAGGTAAAACGAACTGACAATGATTGGTTGGTTTGTTTGAGATACTCACAGCAGTGGCGATGACAGGCCGCACCTCTGAGAGGAAGGCCCGTCGTGGGCTGGCGGGTGTGCTTCGTGACAGGAAGGTGGGTTTAACAGACAGGAGCTCTACCTTCTCCCCCTCAGTCATCTGCAGAGGCCGAATGAGCTCTGAGATCTTACTCATCGAATCCTCATTACCTTCACACACACAAAAGTGACTGATTACTTCATTACTGTGTAAAGCCCCATCTCACCACATCATCACTGCTGTTGATCTTATCAGCCTCCAGATTTTTCAGCATTAAAAAATTGTTTCATATGGTCTAATTGGAAAGGTAAGGGATAAAAGATGGCAAACTGAAGATAAACAAACATGAAGTAACTATAATCAATCAATCCCGTACATGAATGAATATACAAAAGGGATTTGGACAGAAACTATCCACTACACTGTAAAAAAATATTGTTAGTTTAACTTAAAAAATGATTTCAAATTCAAAATTTTAAGTTGATTGAATTTGAAAAAGTGAGTTAATACAATGAAGGAGATTAATTTAATCATCAGAAACTCAAAATAATAAGCTATCTGAACTAAATAAGTTATTTAAGTTGATTTGACAAAAGAAAAAATGTTGTGATAACAAATCTTGAAAATATGTTTTTTTACAGTGTACTGTTCAAAGGTTTGGGGTCGATACGATTTTTTTCATGTTTTTAAAAGAAGACTTATGATCACCAAGGTTGTATTAATTTGATCAAAAATACAGTAAAAACTACTGAAATATTAATTCAGTTAAAAATAACTGTTTTCTATGTCATTATATTTTAAAAAGTAATTAATTCATGTGACGCAAAGCTGAATTTCAAGCACCATACTTCAGTCTTCAGTGTCACATGATTCGTCAGAAATCATTCTAACAGTGACAATTTTGTGATTTAAAAAACTCCCAGCATTTACTTAAAATAGAAATCTTTTGTAACATTATATACGCCTTTCCATTTTGATCAATTTAATACATCATTGCTGAATAAAAGTATTAATTAAAAAAATATGTACTGTATTTAACAAAATGACAAAACTTAAAACCAAATGCCATTTATTTTAAACAAATAATTCAGCTTCAAAATGATAAAGAAAAACATTGTTATACTGATATACTGTATATAGATATATTGTTTACAATTAAGCCAAAAAGTGTGAGCCACTATCTGGTTGTCAAACAGTAAAATGACTAAATGAAGTTAGTTCTGAGAACATTATTTCTTTGCAGATACAAATTGATTTTATAAAAGTATTAAAAATATTCCAATTACTGTATGTTGAGGTCCTTGTAATGTATTTATCTACTATTTTGTAAATGAATTAGAATGAATGAAACGTAAAAATTAGAAAAGTAAAAATGTCAAATATGAATATTTTCAGCACAAAACAAACCACACCACATTTCTTGCTACATTACCCTGTTAACTATTTGAGGAAGTGTCAACACAGTACCTTTCCCGGAAGGGGCAGAGAGGCCATTGAGGAGCTGGGAGAGGGTGAGGGGTTTGGTGGGTGAACTGGGAGAGTCGCTCCCTGTGAGCTGACTGCTGCTCAGGATGTCTAACTTCCCTGCCTGCAACCTGAACTTCTCCAACTCTTTTGACAGCAGGTTAAACTGCTCACTCTGCGTCCGACATTTTTCCTCCAGATCTCTCACTTTAGCCTGGAAATAAAAAAGAGGGATGGAAAGAATAGGAAAAGAGAAAAGCTTGCGTTAAAAACCGCACAGAGACTCAATTGGTCTGGTCTGTAATACAAAAGCAAGATACTAGCAGCACAGTGACATTTACAATAGTTAACCACATTAACTAACCGAACAAAGCTAATGAATGGAGCCAACGAACTCTACCAGCTGTGGTAAGCAACCTACAATACTACAAGAATGGCCCACATCTAAAAGGAGGTTTTTCCTACCAAAAATCGCATTGTGTTCTTAGTGCGAAGGACACTTCTCAGCTTCAGACACCAACAGAATCAAACAAAGACAGGAGTCAATCTATGTTCAGCTGTTATTGTACAACAAATCTCTTTTTTGGTCATGAAGTTAGCAATGGGAAGTAATATTACATGGAGGAGGGTACCACACATGCCAAAATAACAGTAAAAGCTTTTTATGCCAGATGATTTGACGAAACTCACATGAATACTTGTACATCAACACTATTAACTGCATTAGAGGTGTGAGTTTGCATTTTAATCAAGTCAACATGGAACTGTAACTTGTCTTGTGCAGTATGTTTATGCACAGGTACAAGTTCACATAAATCACCAAGCAGTGCTTTTTGGACAAGGAAATTAAAGGAGGGTGGTGGAAGGGAGACATGACATGTCCATCAGTCATGTTTATTGTTGCTGATCTGATCTGCAAACGCACATATCCATGAGGCGCTAACAGCATTCAGTACAAGGCAGCACACATGCATCCAACACAGGAAGAGCAGAAAAGATCAGGCAGTGAATGAGATATTTTAACCACTGAGAACAAACTTACTTCCATGAATATACCCTCAACTACAGAGGCTGCCCTCATCTTCATTTATCTCCTGTTAAGCATTTGTACTATCCAAAAAATAAAAAAAAAATGCCTCTCAAGAGGAATGAGGGTACTGCTGGATGGTTTCAAACAATCTGGTTTAAAAAAAAATCTACAGTGGAAGACAATTGTTTACCCTTTGTTAAAGATGATAGAGTTTGTGATTAGTTAATTATTTATTTGGATGACAAGCATATGCCACCACCCAATTTACATACATTTTACAAATACATTTCAAAAAAGCAGTAATAAACTATAATCATAATTATTAGAAACACCATACTGTTATTAATAATAACACACACAGTATTTATACACTCACCTATAGGATTATTAATTTCTCATTAATGCAATTATCTAATCAGCTAATCACATGTCAGTTGCTTCAATGCATTTAGGGGTGTGGTCCTGCTGGTCAAGACAATCTCCTGAACTCCAAACTGAATATCAGAATGAGAAAGAAAGGTGATTCAAGCAATTTTTAGCATGACATGGTTGTTGGTGCCAGACGGGCCGGTCTGAGTATTTCACAATCTTCTCAGTTACTGAGATTTTCACGCACAACCATTTCTAAGGTTTACAAAGAATGGTGTGAAAATGGAAAAACATCCAGTATGCGGCAGTCCTGTGGGTGAAAATGCCTTGTTGATGCTAGAGGTCAGAGGAGAATGGGCCGACTGATTCAAGCTGATAGAAGACCAACTTTGACTCACGTAACCAGTCGTTACAACCGAGGTATGCAGCAAAGCATTTGTGAAGCCACAACACACACAACCTTGAGGCGGATGGACTACAACAGCCGAAGACCCCACCGGGTCCCACTCATCTCCACTACAAATAGGAAAAAGAGGCTACAATTTGCAAGAGCTCACCAAAATTGGACAGTTGAAGACTGGAAAAATGTTTCCTGGTCTGATGAGTCTCGATTTCTGTTGAGACATTCAGATGGTAGAGTCAGAATTTGGCGTAAACAGAATGAGAACATGGATCCATCGTGCCTTGTTACCACTGTGCAGGCTGGTGGTGGTGGTGTAATGGTGTCGGGGATGTTGGCACACCATTAGGCCCCTTAGTGCCAATTGGGCATTGTTTAAATGCCACGGCATACCAGAGCATTGTTTCTGACCATGTCCATCCCTTTATGGCCACCATGTTCCCATCCTCTGATGGATACTTAGGATAATGCATCATGTCACAAAGCTTGAATCATTTCAAATTGGTTTCTTGAACATGACAATGAGTTCACTGTACTAAAATGGCCCCCACAGTCACCAGATCTCAACCCAATAGAGCATCTTTGGGATGTGGTGAAACGAGAGCTTCGTGCCCTGGATGTGCATCCCACAAATCTCCATCAACTGCAAGACGCTATCCTATCAATATGGGCCAACATTTCTAAAGACTGCTTTCAGCACCTTGTTGAATCGATGCCATGTAGAATTAAGGCAGTTCTGAAGGCGAAAGGGGGTCAAACACAGTATTAGTATGGTGTTCCTAATAATCCTTTAGGTGAGTGTATATATTTTTATATATGTGTGTATATTTTGTTTAAAAATGCAATAAAAAGCATTTACTTTGCATTCAAGACAGAAGCGTGCAAAACGTGACCTGTTTTTATAGCTTAAACATTTATAAAACACAAAAAACTTTTGTCAGGTATGTATAAAATGACTATGAAGTTTGATGGGTTCTCCTAAAACGGTTCAATATTTTGATCTATGGCGATATAGATCAAAGACATTGATAAAATGTTTACAGATCGATCATGGATATGAGCAGTAATTGACAGGACAGCTAAATGAGGTGACAGTAGCTACCCCAATGAGTCACACGGGGAGGGAGAACTTGGAGGAAAAGTAACTCGAAAATACCTGCATGCTGTCCAAGTGATTCTGTATATGCAACAAACAAAAACAAAAAAAAGACCAGTAACATAGTGACAAGAGATGTAAGAAACCAAAGAAATCACAGTTACACACACAAGCATTTGTTCAGTTTCAGAAGTCACAAAAACCCAATATGAGCACTTCACCCCTCCCCCCAATTCCCCATAATTGCCAATTAATGGCAGCAATGAATGAAACGAACAAGGCAGGATATGGTAAATAAATCATAAAATGTACATCATAGAGATGTACATTAGTTTAAAACATTAAATAATAAAACTAATCAGGAAGGATATGCACACAAGAACTTTATTAGTTAATTTAATACATTTGTCTGAATAACTCAAATAAAAAAGGTATTAGCTAAGATGTGATTTATATGCTCGTAATATTTTTGGCTAATATGAGAAAATACATGATGACGCATGTGGAATGTGGTGTACTTTAAAGGTCAGCCAAGATACAATTTAAAATTCATGCTTATATGCACACTCACATACACATGCACTAACATTCATGAGCAGACATCGTTACTCACCTCTAACAGATGGACAGCACCTTCATGTTCCTTCTTAGCCTCAACCTGAGCCTATAAAAAACACAAAAATAATATATAACACCATTAATACCAAATCAGTCACTGACATGCTCCTTATAAAAGTCATGGCCAGAATTATTTCTATATGTTCCCACATCTCTCTGTATTGGCAGATCAGCCCATCTTTTGCAAGCTGCTCCAAATCTCACATTTGCATTTTCAAAGGCATTTAGATCTGAATTTATTGCTCACCAGTTCAGGACAGTCCAGTTTTGTCATTTTAATAATTCCTACGTGTTTTTTTTTTAAGTGTTTAAGCATTGTTTTTGACATATAACACAAACAGGCTAAATATCTGAATATAACATATTTTTTGTAGTGTAGCTTCCGTGATTCAACCATAACGTGGGAAAGCATGATTTTCAAATCAGGTCATATACTGTAACTTTCAGCAGCTGTGAAAAACAGCCTTTAGTTCCACATGAATAAAGAAAAATCTGTTTTCAGAAAAATGTATGGAGACAAACCTTTAGAACAACAGAACTGTGTTCTAATGTCTTGACTTCTGATGAGTAAGTGTGTGTGTCATTTCCTCTTTGTTTATTCTCCTCTGTAATCATGGTGCTCCATTTAATAAAGACAGACAATAACTCAAACGTTTCAGCAGGTGACAATGTTCTCGCACTCTGGAGAAAATGTCAGATTTGATCACCTCCTCTGCCGTTTCATTAGAGAGTAATTTACTCGGTGAAAGAGCAGCACTTTTCTCTTCATTCAAAAGAGAAATAAGTAGAATATATCAGCAAGTTACCTGCAACTGTTGAAACACCTTTTCATTAAACATCTTTCTTCATTAGGAACACTTTGACAGCTGGATTTTTAATATTGGATTTTTTTCAACTTCGGGCAATTTTGTGTCATGGGGGTTGATTTTTAATTAAACTTCTTTCTTTTTATTATATTAAAGTCACATTACAATTCATATCTCAGAAACTTTTTTACGACCCTTAATCATTAATCTTTTCAAAATATCTTATATGTAAAGATTTGAATTGCCCTAGCTAGTTTCTATCTTGAATTGTGAAAATCCATTATAAAAAACAAGCAATTCCAATAGGGTCCTCACTAGGGTTGGGTATCGTTTGAATTTGAACGATTCTGATTCCGATTCCTTGTTTCGATTCCGGTTCCTAACGATTCTCGATTCCGATTCTTTTAAGAGGCAGGGTCAAAAAAGTTTAGCTAACCTTGCTAACCAACGGCCTTTCTGAAGGAAATACTCCTTCTGTAAAAAACTCCTTTTGTCACAAATTTTGCATTTTGCCAAGATTTCGTTATTTTTAGAAAAGTGAAGCCACACTTTGGATAGTCGACATAAGCTACTCATGTTTGACTCGCGTGGTTATGCCAACACTTCCGGTAGACGCTTCTTCGTTGGTGTTGTTCAGCGGTTTCTTCTTCCACTCGGCGGACTGTGAATATCGAAACTAGGAATCAAAATTTTTACTTTTGAACGATCCCGGGAAAAACGAAAAGTTAGTCTCGGTTCCAATCGATACTCGATTCTCGATACCCAACCCTAGTCCTCACACCATCAGTGCTTGGGCCCTAAATGTGGTACACATTTCTAAATAATAAAATCTAAACAAAGAGCATAAATAACCCATTTAAATCGTATATATAAAACGTCTCAGGTTACGTACGTGTATGTAACCCTGGTTTCCTGAGAGGGAACGAGACGCTGCATTGAGACGCGGTGGGAACGCCCTGTGTTATTGTGTCGTGAATCACGCGTAAAATCAGTCCAATGGAAAGACAGGATGTCATAGGTATCCTCATAGACCAGAAAACTATAAAGCACACCTGAAATCAGACCGCGACAGCTTCTGAAAGTCCTCAGTCGAGAGACCGGATTCTATGAGCCGGGCCCCCTCAGAGGCCAGGCCCACAGTTTCCACAACTCTGGATGAGGGTGAAATATTTGGGACAGTAGGTCCCTCCTGACCGGAATCTCCAGGAGAGAGCCGTCTAGAAGGGACACTAGGTCCGAGAACCAAACTCGAGTCGGCCAGTAAAGGAATTGCACACCAGACGAGAAGCGCAGTGCCACGTCTAGGACAACTCCAGGTATCGCAAGCCGGACACACACATTCTAATCTCGCGAGCTCAATTTTGAATCAACTCCTGGTAGAAGAGCTGCACGATATGAGAGTTTTAACTTGATTTATTATTACTATTTTTTTAATGTTGATTAAATAATAGCTGATGTTTGAACGTTAATCAAGTTAAGGTGTCTATCACGTTAAGTCTGTTATTTTGTTGTAACGTTATCCGTTGTCTAGGCACGTCGCCGGTGTGTGTACATTCATTGAGAATAATGTGTTCGCATTTTAAAGACATGGCGCTGCACGGCGTAGCGCTGCGCTTCTCGTCGAGTGTGCGACCCCCTTAAGGGCCTACTAGTAGCAGAAGAGTCCCTTCCTGGCAAACCCTCTACAGAACCCCCGAAAACATCGATATCGGGGGGAAAGGGTACAGGTGCAGCCTCGGCAACACCTGCACCATCACATCCAGTCTGAGAGGAGCTGGGTGCGTAATGGAGAACCACATGGGACAATGGGTTGAAGCTAAAGGTCCACCAAGTCTCAACGCAGCTCGAGATCCCTTGAAAGGAAACTTTTGGTTGTGTTGGGACAAATTGTTTATCCCCCCAAACAAGCTATAATGTTGACAAATGATCCAAAATGTTTGAAAATATTATTTAACTGTATTTATTTGACACACATAATACTATGAAATCCAGCTTCCAGTAATGTTATTGAAAAAAAAATACAATTATTATAAAAAATAAACATATTAAAGGCAAATTATTTAAATTAAATAAAGACGCACATACAGCCCATTGTCAATGAAATAAATACACTATTTCCAGTCCAAAATCATCTGACAAAAACCCACCAGCTGATCTGAACCATCTAAACCAGCTTTGACCAGACTGAAACCATGTAAAGCAGTTTATCACCAGAATCCAGTCTTGATTAATGAGTTTAATCAGACATCTGAAGCCTTATATAGGGTGAGAATTGTTGCATTATTCTAAATAAATAGATTATGGTCTACAAACAAATGTAAAGAGTTTCACAAAAAATAAATAAAATGAGATTCACAAATTAAAATATATATTTATAAATATTTTTTTTTCATACCACAAACACAACTCTGCCTGGTATTTATTTGTGAACCGCTTTCTGTACATTTCTAAATCCCCTCACGCATTTGTGAATCGGTTCCTGTGCATTTGTACATCCCCTCACACATTTGTGGATTTTAACACTTCTAGCGTCGAGGTGCAGACAAATCCACAAATAAGTGGACTCCACCCACCGTTTCCTTGATCCTAAGGTAGCTTGATCCTATAGTATGGTGTGGTTGGAAACCCTGACCTCTTACCTTCTGCAGAAGGTCAATCTCCTGCTGCTTGGCACTGAGGACAGCCAAGGCTTGTTCATGCTCTAATTCTAGCTGCTGCCTCCTCTCTGCAGCCTCTCGCATATGCTGGGAAAGAGAGAAGAAAGAGCAGGAGGTAAGAGAAAACTCAGCAAAGGATGAACACAGACAGAATGAGAGCAACCATCAATCATTGTTGAAGGGATAGTTCACCCAAAAAAGAAAACTCAGCACTCATTTACTCACCCTCAAGTTGACATACTTTATTGAGTGGAGCACAAAAGGAGATATTAAGAAAAATGTCCAAGCTGCTTTTTTTCATGCAATCAAAGCGGATGGAGATCAAGGACAGCCGTGAAACCATTGACTTTGTACTGTAAAACAGCTTGGACATGCTGTTATATAACTACTTTTTGTGATGCATGCATAGTCAAACAGTATGGATTTGAAACTATGTTAGATGGATAATACTAAAATCTTCATTTTTGGGTGAAATAATTCCATTAAAAACTTTTTAGGTCACAGAGCTTTTAGCTGCTGTTAACACTCGACAAAGAGTCCCTACAACTGATCTATAGACCCTCTTTTTACCAGTCTCCAGGAGCACCAAAGACAGAAATCCCTTCTAATCCTGTAGTATCTGATCTAAACGCTAAGATGTCTGTCTTACTTGAGCTAATCAACTCAGAATTAGGGGCCATTCACATTGTTAGAGTTTTTGCATTCCACTGCACTGCTTTTCCACAGTTTTTCTATGTAAACATGTTTGACTCTTGTGCTTGACTCATAAAAATGTGTCGCTCATGTTTCAAGAAGTTAAACTTCTAAAAAGTGTTTCTGTTTTATTCCATTGGCCTTGCATTTGCATTCATAAAGTCACCATTAAATCAACATGGAAAATTCTAAAAATGTTATGAAATATTGTAGTATTTATTGTATTTTGGTAAAATTCATGTGCCCTCGCAATCTTTAAACAAAATAACTTCCCCTTCCTCTTGCAGTGACTTCTCTTCTCTGATGATGTGTTTACTGGCATGAGGGCGGGACAACCTGTCACTCACATGACACAACAACAATAGAAAACCAGAACAATAAAACGATCTAATCAATTCTCGATGGACAAAATCAAGTCCAGCCCTATGAGAAGCAGTTTCACTCATATGTATACGCCACAATATAGGGATAAAAAGACTATCGAAACATTCGTCCATGCCGACTTTAAATGCAAAAACATATTGTGTGTGAATGGCCCCTTACTGTGTTAACACCTTGATAACACTTATTTGTTGGCTTCTAAAAACTAAAGAACAGTTAAAAAACAGACAGTACATCCAAAGAAGTCATTCTATTTAAATTATTTTTAGTGAATAGCAACTATATTTCAGTCTGTTCATCAAACAAAGTTATCATATGACTTCAAAAAAACAACAAAAAACAACAACAACAGCATATGTGTTTGAAATGACATGAGGGGGAGTAAATGTCCACAGAATCTTCATTTTTGGGCGAACTATCCCTTTAAGCACTGAAAACAAGAGCAAAATGTCATCATCAATCAGGTTTTGTCATTTGCTTCACCCCTTCAGGTAAAGCAAAAACAGAAGTGAAGCATCATGTCAATCAGCCAGACAAAGCACAGCCACGGAGCTTCGCATGATCAGTAAAGGCTCTTAAGGGTCACGGCTCTGTACATGAAAGGGTGTGTGCAAACAACACAGGAAGTTCAATCAGTGCAGATTACTGCCCGACATCATCCCCAGAAGCTCTTCTGTCCTGTTAAAAGTGCCCAGTGACAAAACCTAGCAATCTTCTTTCCATTTGTGACAGGTGAGGTTACAGGGGATAAAGGGTAGGAGGATTTTTCCATGCTGCTATTAAAGAGGAGTGCAGGGAAGAGGAAGGTTAGAATAATCTAACCTTCAGAGGATGAATAAACTGTACTGTGTGTGAAATATGTTATGGTTATCCGAATATCTCAATGCCTACTACTTATGGGACAAAGCATCTAATACAAATCTAAAGTGTCTCATGTGTATGTCTTCAAGGGTTAGTTCACCCAAAAATGAAAATTCTGTCAGTATTTACTCACCCTCATGTTGTTCCAACCCCGTAAGACCTTCGTTCATCTTGGGAACATGAATTAAAATATGTTTGATGAAATCTGAGAGCTGGATCACTCCTGCATAGTGGTCCATAGGCTTCTTGAGGGATTGAAACTTGCTGGCCTCGAAAAGTTAATAAAGACATCGTTAAAATAGTCCAAGTGACTACAGTGGCTCAATCTTAACTTTATCAAACGACGAGAATACTTTTTGTGCGCACAAACAAACAAAAATAACGACTTTATTTCAACTATTTACTTCTTCTCTTTGTGCCTCGAGTCAGTTAAACTAGTGTAATTGCGTATGGTCTGTTGTTGTACAGTACGTCACACGCATCACACAGATGACCAGCGTCGGCCAATAGTGAGCCTACGTGTGACGTAGCTCTACGCCATCACACTACGTTAACTGACTAGAGGCTCAGAGAAGGAAGTGAGTAGTTGAAATAAAGTCGTTATTTATGTTTGTTTTTGCGCACAAGTGTGTTCTCGTCGCTTGATAAAGTTAAGATTGAGCCATTGAATTCACTTGGACTATTTTAACGATGTCTTTAATAACTTTGAGGCTGGCAAGTTTCAATTCCTCAAGAAGCCTATGGACTAGTATGCAGGAGTGATCCAGCTCTCAGATTTCCTCAGAAATATCTTAATTCGTATTACGAAGATGAATGAAGGTCTTGCGGAGTTGGAACAACATGAGGGTGAGTAAATACTGACAGAATTTTCCTTTTTAGGTGAACTATCCCTTTAAGAGATTATGAAGTACTTTTTACTTATTAAACAGCTTAATCATTTTAACAGCTAAATGTTTAATTTATTTACTTATTATCTCACTCACTTATTCACTTATTCATTCTCTCACTTCTTCACTCACTCACTCAATCACTCACACTCACTTTTTCGCTCATTCATCGATTCACTCATTCATTGATTCATTAATTTATTATTTTGGATTTGAGAGATCATTAAATGATTTCACTGTCCCAGCTTATTTTGCTAATAATAAGGCATCTGTATAAAAACTAATCATACAAATCATAATACAAATCATATTTTATTGGTTTAGACTCATCTAAAGCAATAAAATATTGCAATGCTACTAGATTAGCTGGTTCTTTTTTTGTATATCAAGGCTGAAAGTTTCAACATATTTCACACTTTGTACATTCAGCAAAACCGTCACCTGAACTGAAACTGAAATGAAAACAAAATTGCATTTTTTTTTTAATATTAAGTGAGTATCTCACATTCAAAAGAAGAGCTGGGTTAGTTTATTTCATGTGGGGGGGGGGGGGGGGTAATTGTGCATAACTGTCGTGTCATGCACAAATGCATTCCACAGTGCCTTAGCTGGCCGACCATTTAGATCACATACATCATCCAGATCAGCTGTTAGTATTCAGTCAAAAAGTCAACATTCAGTTAGTGCTGGCTTCTGTAAAGTCTTTAGATATACCTGATGAATGAAAAATATGGAAGGTGGCAGGGACAAGGAAGGGGCAGGAGAGGGTTAGACGTTAGGGGAGGGGTAGGGCGCTCCAGGACTCACAGATCCACACTTTGAGAGTGTACGACAGCTCTAAAAGGTACAAAAAAAAAAAAAAAAATCCGGTGATGCCATAAAAGAGTACAAGGGGAGAAAAAAGGTATGAAAACATAGATGAAAGTGGAGGTCATGATCTAAATCACCCTTGGCCAGCTGGGTTTCCTGAAACATGAGCTTGTATACTGACATAAATCACTCTACATAAAGGACCATATGACATTTTCACTTTGCCACCTTTGAGCTTGATGACTCATCATACTCGAAGGCTAATCAGGTAACCAGCTAGAAAATATATCCACATCGTACTTTTTATTTCTTGATCCTAAATTACAACACTTGAATCTTAGGTGGAAATCTCTTAATATGGTGAATCTCACGAAATGTATAATTTTATCCAAAATGCAATGACCAAACTCTGGATCTCTTTTTACATTGCAAAGCTAAAGAAAAAAAGATGGATGGATGGATGGATGGATAGATAGATAGATAATTTTTTTACAATGCAAAACTGAAGAATATAGAAAAAAAAGACATGATTTTCTTTTTTAATAACTTTTTCTTTTGATTATGGGGGATGAGTCTGTCTGGTTCTCACCTTCAGCACCTGCTCTAGGTTCTCCAGTTTGCCTTGGAGCTCAGTCCTCTCCAACAGAGCGCAATCTCTTTCCACTGTCACAGTGTACAGAGCCTCCTGCAGCTGTTCATATTCACTTTTCACCTTATAGAGAGAGAGAGAGAGAGAGAGAGAGAGAGAGAGAGAGAGAGAGAGAGAGAGAGAGAGAGAGAGAGAGAGAGAGAGAGAGAGAGAGAGAGAGAGAGAGAGAGAGATTAATCAAGAATATCTTCAGGCTTACACGGTTTCCCTTCTGACCTCTGTTAGAAAAGTGGAAGAAAAAAAAAAAAACATGTCTGAGATATGGCCTACTGGTTTGTGCACGTGTTTGACAGACTAGTGCTCATGCAAATGGCAGGTTTGAATTCAGTTTAAATCATCTCTAGGCCCTGTTCCACCATTATATTCCGGCTCTTTTTACATTTAATAAAACATGTAAGTGTGATTTTACAAGGGTACAAGAAAAAAGATAATTTAGTTTACCAACTACTGAAAGTTTAAGATAGTAGTTGTGAGCATCAAACTGCAGTGGTTGTCTTTGGATCTGCAGTGGGGTAGAGGAAGGTTGTGAATGAATAACACCATCTGGATGCATGTGGCCACAAGGCTACTAAGCGAAATCGTTCAACAATCTATAAACCTCTAGCATATGATACTCTTAGGGTCTGAGAGGGCAACTCTAGACACTTGTATCCTGACCAGCACATCTGCTCCAATGTTTTTATTTATTTATTTTTTTTTTTCAGTTCATGTTGCCACAGTTGCGAAGTACTACTATTTCACAAACAGCCATATAGAATATACAATTTAGTCAAACAAAACTAAAATTTATATTTTAACAACAGTATTAATATTACCAAAAACAATTAACCTGATTCTTTTTTTTGTAATTCAACTTTTTTTTTGTTCAACAGTCAAAACAGAGTATATCACATTATTCAGTAATCACCTTTGCAATTACACACTCCGCCACTAGTCCCCATCAGTGGAACACAACCAAAACAAAAGCACATGAAAATTAAACTGATTCTTGTCATAAATTTTTTTTTAAAAATTCTGAAAATATTTTTCAAAAGTAGTTTGTTTCTTTGTGGAAAATGTTTGAAATGAGAAAAGATTACTTTGTACACCTTTAAAATAAAAATTCACACCAAAGATGTAAAGTACATCAAAAATGACTATTTTAAAATATGATATCACAATATTATAATTCTATAAATATATAATACATGTGATAATAATAACATTACATCTCCACTGTACATCATATGAAAGTGTTTCTTCAAATAATTACATTTTGCTATTAAATACCATACTTTGATCCTTTAAAAAATGATATTTTCTGTTTGTTTGCACTCACTTTTATGCAATAAATAGAGCATGTGTAGTCAGCATTGAGCTCTGGGGTGAGAGTCGTGTATTTAGAGACCGAGAGCAGAGGGGTTGACGTCCTGTATCGATCGCAGCTTCAGTCATGATAAAAAGCTGAGCTGACAGAGTCAGAGGTAGCAAGTACACACTCCACGCCTGTCCAATCTGACACTCATCTCTTATCTGCAACTTGAACCACACACACGTACTGAAACACCAATTACAGCTGAATATGCTTGTTCTAGAGGTAAAGTGTTTGACCTATTACACTTGTATAGATGTTTCTTATGACATTCAACCGGCATGTCCTGGATGGCCATAGTGGTGTTGGGCAAAAGACACTCAAGTACAAATTAAACTGAAAATGATGTCTAAACTGACCATATTTTTTGTGAGTAAAAAAAATAAGTTTTTATAATTTTTCATGAAAATGTAATAACTTTGTTCACATTTGAAACAACATTTTATTCTTGGATAACCAAAGCATGAGGGCAGGTAAAATATATATATATATATATATATATTAACCAATAATATCAAAAGTGCAACATTTCATAATCCAACTATATATGACTAAAGTTCTACTCTATTATTTTTCAACATGCTCTGAATGTTGTTTCATATGTTTAAGGTGGTGTGCCATTATAGTAGCCTGGCTGCGCCCGCCTACGCACTTCCGCTCAATTTCATTTTCCTTCAGTACTGCGTCTGGGACCGCTCCATATCCTTAGGTTTCCAGAAATCAATTTTTTGTAGGACCAATCAGCGAATAGAGGGAGTGGCTGAGAACGATGACGTTGATGTAGTGCGTCAGTTTGAGTGCAGTAATGGCAGCGGAGAAAGACGTGAGAAAAGCTATTCGGTCCGTTGTTGGAAAAGAAACTGCCGAATATACAGAATTTAAAGCCGGATTGTTATCATCTCACCTCTTGTTGCACAACGGAGGACCAAGTGAAAGAGGCAGAAAGGTTGGAAGTTTGTGCTGGGCAGCTCGTGCACGCACAATGACCGTGACATTTTGGACTTTAGCCTGGTGTTCGCGGTGTTCGGAAGCCCCGAGTCCTGGCTGCTAAACTATTGTCGAAGATCCGCTCAGGAGTCATGTCAGTCGCTCAGATTCCCAACAGTAAATTTACTGATTCTTGTGATGAATAGAACATTTTGAGCCCCTTTGTGCACTCGTACAGGAGGTTGGTGTGTCAGTTTTACATGTTGTAAATCATACAAATTGGTTGTGATTAAAAAAAAAAATTATAAATAAAAATTTGAAAACCCATACTTTGGAGACTATATTTGATTTTCAGTTTTAGATGTCAATGGTTAATTTGTTTTAATAAAAAAAAACAACTAAATGCCATATAAAAATGTACAAACACATACTTTGAAGACCATAATTAAGGTAATTAAGAAACAAAAATACGTAATATGAAAAATTGTTGTTTATTACACATCTGCAGACAGACTGATCATTCACTGTAACTTACAGCATTGACTGAATAATCACTGTCCTTCATGTCAAATATACATTTCGAATTAATAATTGTTCCTAGATTAACAAAACCTGCAGCTCTCGTTGACTGAAATCCTATTGTAAATTTAATCCTCTGATCATTCGGAGTTCGGACTTGTTGTTTCTTTTACTGTCTATGGTTGTTTCCAGCCGTTTCGGCGCATGACATACGTCACTCACGACCACACATTAGCGATTGGCTATGGCAGATCGTGAGTGACTCTGGGCAGATCCAATAGATTTGAACTTTAATAGTGAACCCGCCTACAAGGAAGGAAACGTTTCTCAATTGAGGGAGGCCAGACTCTCTGTACAAATGAAATGTATGTACGAGAGTCTGGTAGAACCAGGCTACCATTATAGGGCAGTATAATTACTTTGCCAAAATGTACATATTTTATTGTAGTTCTCTTACGAGAGGTTCTCTCGTACTGCATAATATCTTATGCAAGGGCAAACCCTCTTTTCCAGGAGATATTGAAGCCAAAAATTATCCTTAATTTTGAATAAATGTAAAAAGCGTTGCGGCAGCATGCAGACATAGGCAAAGGTGGCTCGCGTGCCTATTTGCTGTCCTGCGGCAACTACAGCAGCTTATCGAGAGTGGTGTCCAAAGGTGGGTGCTTCGCGCCCACTACATCACCACCAACTGAAGCGGGCGTGGCCTGGGCCTATAAATATAGCTCGATGGGCTGATATAATATGATTTTTCATCTCTTCAGAGAAACTCACGCACCGCCGGATTCGGAGTGAAGAAGCCGCGCCATCTGAGAAAAGCTTTCTGCAGGACGAGCCTTTGCATATGAAGCCACTGGCTTTTATCTCTGCGCCTTCAGTCGCCATACTTGCTATGCTTTCCGGCGTTTATATCATTTTTACTCTGCCGAGTGTGTGTTCGCCACTGTGACTCACACTCGCTCTCTCTATCTAAAAGAGCAGCATCTTTTTAAAGATGCCTTGTTCCTGAGGTTCGTGCCGAGCCGCACTCAGCGATGGGGTCCGCCATTTTTACTGCATTTCCTGCCTGGGTAGGGATCATGCAGCTCTCGCGCTCGCTGACGGTGGCTGCCATCACTGCGAGCTGTTGCCATGGTGACTCTCCTGACATTTTTTCTCAGAGTCTGCACTTCTGCCCGCTATAGTGCCATGCTGTAAAAAGCACCATACTCAGCGGGTCCTCCAGCCCATAAATGCTTGCTGGTTCGCCCACGAGCTTCACCAGCTTCACTCGAGTCGCTCACCAATGGACAACAGTCGCCGTTCGTTGCCGCTTCCACCATTAATGACGGCAGATAGCTGCATCTGCAGAGGAGGACAGCTGATCTATCCTGGCATCGGACAGTGAGGACTGGGCGAGCTCTGCGGACCTCTCCCCCTCTGCCCGCGAGTCATCAGTGAAATGGGCCAGCATCGAATCCGAGCTGATGCGTCTACTTTCACAGGCCACGGCGAGCCTCGGCCTTGAGTGGACGGCACCTGCACACAACCGACTGGATGGATGTTTCTTGCATAGGGACTGCGTACCTCTGTCTCAGCAGCATTCTTCGTGTTCGACGATGCTAAAGATAGAGGATAACACTATCTTCCTCCAGTAGAAGAAGCTGTAGAGACCTAGCCTGGGAAAACCCAGAAAACTTCCGGCAAATTTAGATTTGCTCTGAAAGTTAGTCTGGCAAAGAGCTCATTCAAGCCCATTTCCAATCCGTCGAAATCACGGCACCAATCAGAAACGTTGGGGCAGGCTTTTACACGATGACGACAGCACTGGGATTTTGAAGCAGATTTTGTAGCCTACATTAGTAGCCAACATCACTCATTCGAATCAGCTATCGTGTCTGTTTTAAGCGATTTGAAAATTTCCTTATTGTTTAAACCGAGCAAAGAACAACACTCGCCGGCTTCCGCTCTGCGTACGTCATCTCCTTCATCGCTCTGATTGGTTTTAGGTCTACCTGCGACGTCCGTTGGTGACGCCCCTCTGGAAATGATTTGTCTATGACGCTTTGCCAGACCAAAACTCAGTTACAACTGAGAATGGTGTGGTTTTAACCAGGCTAGTAGAGGCCCATCTTTGCCCGACTCTCTGCTGGACGGCGAGCTAAAACGGCGGTACATTCTAAAGCTGGCCACACTACTTCTGCTGTGCTCTTCTATGCCCTTTCAAAATCCACTGTACGGGCCATTG